GAAATTGGTGGACAAATAAATAAAACAATAAATTCTTACAAAATATTTTCATCTCTTTAAATAAAAAAAATATTTAAATTAAGAAAATACATATATTTTAATTCAAATATTTTCAAGAACTTGCAACCCCTAATTGAAAGTAACATGAAGTTAAGGTCTATCCAGCCTTAATTTAAGTTAAAGAACCTCCTCTTATGTTGTTTGGATTTTAAATATAGTAAGAAAAACTTCCCCTCCTCTATTAATTCTAACTGACTTGTTAATAAATTAATAGTAAATTTTAAATTTTCAATTACACGCTCTCATATAGTAAATTTTAAATCAATTAATAAATTATTAATAGTCTCTCATTCAAATTTTCAAATCAATTTTTCCCCATTATGTATTATTGATTGAAACTTAAGATTCGATTTTTTAAAATTTAATTTTTTCTTCTTGTTTTGGATTTTTCAAGCCCAACTTACAGAAACAAATTTTCTTTTCAGCGTTAAAAGGGAAAACCCGGAAACAAGATTTTATTAGAAAGCCGAGTTATAAATCCTAAAACCAGGTCGCGAGTCCGAGTTGAACTTTATTTTTTGGATAAAATTTATAAATTCTGGAGATTGATTAAACATTATATTAAAAATAAATATTAACTAACTAATTTTAATTAACTTTTCTCAAACACAGCTTTAAATTATTTCCAGTTTTATTTGTTAATATTTAAAATCGGAGGTGGAATTTTAAACCGATTTTAAATTTCAATCGGAGTCAGAAAAGTGTCAGAATTATTGCAAGTCCGAAAGTTTAAAAATTTTCTTGAATCGGAGAAAATGTCTGGAATCTTCCTCACACAAATGTCCTTAAATAGGACTTTTAAACTTTAGTCTAGATTTTATTAGAAAGAATTTTCGAAAAAAGTTCTTAAGAGTTAGAACGGAGGGTAATTGTAAGGAGGGTAATTGCTAAGGGGAGTAATTAATCGAGAAAATACGGTATTTTGTGTAAGTATTTTCGATTGTAATTGTTGGGAATAGTGTCTGAGAATCTAAAGGTTCCTCGATTTTACATAGAACAAACCAAAAGTATTTTTAGGATAAAAACTTTAAAAATAAATATAATATTTTTAAAATTATTTTAGTTATCAATTCCACGGTCATATTACAGTAGACCAAACAGAGACGATAAGGATTATTTTGATTTTGATCTTCAACACTCTGTTGATATGTAAATAAATATATATTTTTATTTAGTTGATTAAAAATAATTAAAGTTTTCTAAATTAGCTACATAATTTCCAAACTTTTAGACACTCTAAATTTAAAAAAAAAATTCGGAAAAAATTTATAATACATACCTAATTAGAACAAAAATTACCCAATCTTAAAAAATATGGGGCAAAAGAACAAGTACATTATTACAAAATAATTATTTATTACAAAATGTCCCTCCCAATAATAATTATGAAATAGTATACTAAAATTAATAAATTTTGAAAAAAATATTTTTTCCTTTTTAGGTATCGCCGCCCTGAAGGGAAATACCTTCCAACACCGTAATTTAATTAATATTTTAAAAATTCAATTTAAATTTTTTTCTTTCCAATTTTTAAGTCCACAACATTGGGAAACAAAACTTTTAAATGAATACAAAGCAAAAGGAGAAGCACCACTCTCTGGGTATATGTTCACAAAAGGGCCGAGTGATTACAGGGCTGCGGGGACTAGTTATTTAAGTGCTGCTTTAAGGTGTTTTTTTGTTTTTTTATCATTTGTGTTCGCAAAAGGATTTTCCAGAAATATAGAAATTGAAAATAGTAATGGATTTTGATTGAGAAAAAAAAGAACTAGAGAATTTTTAGGTCCGAAATATTTTAGAAATTTAAAACTTTCCCTACATTTATCATTTGTTTTTTTATCATTTGTGTTCGCAAAAGGATTTTTCGGAATTGCTCCTTACCCACTCCCTCCTCTCTCAAATGTTCAAAGCTCATCCCTATTTGAAGAATTTTTTGGTAATTATATAATTAGGTAATCGTGTAACCCTTTTAGATGTTGAAAATTTTTATTTTAAAAATTGAACTTTGATGTTTTAAATAAATTTTTAAAGAACTCCGAGTTTCTGGGAACACCGTTTTGCTCAAATTGGTAAATTTATATTTTTATTAAATTCGAAAAGCTATGTTCTTTATATAAATACTTAAATAGGTGCTTCTGTGCGTGAGGCGGATCCTGTAAGCTTCGAAAGTTTGGAAAGGTATTTAAATTTTAGGGATTTTTTGATGGCCTTTCTTTTTGTTAAAACATTTTCAAAATTATTTTAACCTCAAAAACTTGTCTATAATTCATTCGGGACGCTCTTATAGCTGAGTTGATTGATAACAAAATTAGATATATTTATTTATTTTAAGCAAAACTTTAACCAATTAAAAAAACTTAAATATTTTAATTAAAGAAACAGACCACGACCTAGTCGATTCACAACATATTCAGACCCAAATTTTGAAGATTATGAAGATCCACGAGCAGATGACACTTGATATTATTATAAATTTAAACATATTTTATTGTTAATTTTTTAAATCATTAATTTTCTTTTTAAGTTTGTATATGCATATTTTTTGGATTTTTATAAAAATTTAACTTTGATATCTTTAATTTTTTCTGGTAAAATTTATTATCTATTTAAAATTTATGTTTAACTTTGCGGTCAATTTTTTAGACCAGTAATTTAAATTAGTATTTATAAAATGCCTTTTTGATATTATTTAAAATTACTTTTTCCCTAAAACTATTTTCCCATTTTCTTCAATTCTTTCTTTATATTTGAATGTCACTCCCACAAGTACATATGTATATTTATAAACCTCTTTTACTCAAAACCGCCATTTCTCCTCATTCAACTAATTATATTCAAATATTTTTTTATTTTTAATCAAATACATTCATAAATAAAATAAAAATTTATAAATAAAATTACCAATTACCCCTCATTTCTTGTTCTTTTTAGTGGATAGAAGCAATTGAAAAAGCATATCCAGTTATTGTATTAAAATTATTCATAGCAAGTATAATGTACAATAGTTATCGAATTACAACAATACAGTGAAGGTAACTTTTATACTGATAAAGGACACTGATTCGGGATAATATAAAAATAATGCTTTAATAAAGAACAAAAATATCACTCTTCAAAAGTTTGGAAGCAGGAAAAAATAAATTTTCGAAATTGGCTATCTTGGTTGGTAGATAAAGTTACCAGATTTTACCTTCCTTTTTAGTTCTTTTTTGGCGATTTGGTACAATATGGGTATAAGTAACATTTTCCTTTCCTTCCTTTTCTTTCTGGTTAAATGACATTATGAGCAAGCACAAACTGTGTTTACTGTGTGCTGTTAACTATACTAACAATTATTTTTAGCAAGACCCTATTATTTGATCATAGAAAATTACCCCCAAACAATAGAACTGCAACTTATTCATTACTACCTGGATCAACTATCTCCTTTGAATTTGCACAATTTGATTATGTCGTATTTAATTACAAAATGATCAGATTATTGTTTGATGAAGAAAAACCTAATTATTTAAAATTCGTTGGATTACACCTTAGGCCTCAACATGATAATATTCTAAATTTGTGTGAATTCGCTACAGAAACTTTAATAGTCACCAACTATTTGAGCATTTATTTTTCTTCTTACTACAATTTCAAAAATAAGATGGATATTTTATTCAATGTATTGACGAAGGAAGTGATTTACTTCAATTAATTATATTTCAATTAAATTGCCAACAATTTTTGGGTGGATTATACAAATATCTCGCATAGGCAAAGTATCTGACCTAATTGCTCAAAATTTTCTCCCTAATTTTTCATTTTAAAGTTCCTTTTCCGACAAAAGTCCAACAAAAATATATGCATCCACCTTATTTGTTTTTAATTTGTGTATTGATTCTCATTTTTTAATTTTTAAAAATAATTTTTTAATTTATTTACTGCATAAAATTTATATATATTCAGTTAGCTCTGTTTATTAATTATGTTCGGGAGTTGATAAAAAAGCCAGGAGTCTAGACCGAGCCCGGGAATTAAGCCCGAGATCGAGAGTCGAGACGGACCTTTGATCATTTCAGAAGTTCAAGTTCACAAGTTTCTATTTTTTACTAGATTTAATAATCTAAGAAAAACTCATAAATCCTAAAACCTAAAGATATGGAATGAGGCAAAAAGTAAAGTTTGCTGTTAAAATAGAGGAAGAATATTAGAGAAATACAAATTTAGTGGACAAAATTCTAAATTACAAATTTTATTTCCTACTACTTAAATTATAATAAGCTGACAAGTTTAATAAATAATTTTAATTTATTATTTTTTTACAAAACTAACAACAACAAAAGAAAAATAAATAATATTTATACATACATATATTTAATTTATTTATCCTCTAATTGACCCAACATTTTCTATTTTACTCAAAGCAACTAAAGAAACTGGTCTCTCATCTAAATCGTCTTCAATACTTTCTTCTGTAGTTGTAGCCTCTCTGCCGTCTCTTCTATCACTATTTGACTCTTCTTCACTTCTATAAGAATCGGGTATTGTCACTCCCTCAGCATATGAACGTGTTGCAATAGGTCGAAACTTCGTTCCACTTCCAACTCGCCCCGCTAAGGCTGTCAACGACCTTGAAACGAGATTTTCCATTGGTGTAAGCATTGCTGTTCCGGGTGTTGGCGGGGGTACTGGAATTGTTGGCTGTAAGTGGTCGTCGTGTTCTTTTTTGTCTGCTGATTTGGTACGGGTTTTGCTCTTGCTTCGAGAACGTTTTAGTTGTTGGTGACGAGCCCGTGCTTCTGCTTTTTCTTTTTTCCATCTTTTGTAGCGGCGGACAGACCAAAACTTTAAAAAGTTAATTTTTAGAAAGATTTTTGAGGGTAATGGGAATCTACAAAACTATGGAAACACCCAAAATATCACCACTCCCCCATCACTTCCCTCGTGGTGATATTCTGGGTTTAGCCTATTTTTTGAAAACTCACCATTAGACAAGCACTAAGAGCTACCACAATAATTGGCAAAATAAACACATAGCAAAACCTAAACCAATTTGTCGGTCTAATGCGCCTTTGAGCCTTTTTCTCAACTAAAGGCAATCCCCTTTCTTTAAAATCCGTAAAGTCTAAATGGTCTTGATCCGTGTCATTAACAAAAAGTGCATCGTTTTCTGTGGTTGCTGATTGAGAAATGAAAGAAGTAATTACAAAGAAGAGCGTTATTAGAAGAAGAACAATTTTTGTATTGGGCATTTTGAACTGAAAAATAAAAATTAATTGAAATATAGAAAAGTGATAATTACTAAATGAAGATATGAAGAATGCTTAAATAAATTTAGATCAACTCAATTTTTGTTTTTATAGGATAATATCAGTTGCTGGTGTACCCCAATCCGTCCTTAAAAGTCCTACGGAGCGAAGTGAGCGCTTAATGCTATTCCTTACCAGCATACTGCGACCTGATCGAGATTGTGTGATCTGATCATCAGAATTTGATAATGTAAGGATGATTAACCTAGAGCATTTAAAACGCTTAGGGGGGGGGGGGTTAAACGATCTAAAAAGGGAAAAAAGAAAGCATTAGTCGGTGCTCCGGTACTCACAATCAGTGGTAGAGCACCTCCATTTGTATGAGCAAGGCCGAGCGATCACTGTCAGCGTTGTCGCAGGTTTAATCCTGCCCGGTGGCTAAACTTTTACTAACAATAAACTCTTTCTATATTCAAATTCTTTTTTCCTCTCTTTTTCTCAATTTTAACTCAATTTTTTCTTTTTCTTCATGTTTTTATTTTTCTACAAAAATTTTATTTTAAAATACTTTTTTAAAATAATTTAGGTAAAAGTCAAATATTGTAATTATTTTATTTAAAAATTTTTTTTATAATTCTCTCAAAAATAAATCAACCAAAAATGTTCTTTAGAACCTAAGCTCTTTAATATTTTTTTCAATTAATAAATTAAAAGAATTTTATTTATTTATACCAAAAAATCCAAAAATGGATAAAAGTTTTTATATAAAATCAAAAAAATGAAGGAATGGGAAGGCTTGTTTATATTGTGTCAGAACCAGAAAAGGAACATTTAAAAGAAGATTAAAATAATACAAGGGCTGCAATAGAAATTGTTAAATCTTTTAATTTTCTTTTGTAAAATCAAATTCTTCAATTGCAACAACTCTTAATTAATATAAAAATATATTTGTAATTTTAAAAATCAACTCTTGTTAGTGTAACTCTTTTAAATATCATCTATTTAATTTCAAATTTCTAAAAATGTTTAAACTAGAGTTGATTATGTATTTATTTGGAATTTTTCTACTTTTTTTCTTTAAAATAAAAATAATTACAATATTTTTACTTTTAACAAAGAAATATTCCAATTACAGTCAGATTATCAATTTTATGTACACAGGTGAAATAATTGTATCTAAAGTCGAATATATTCATAATTTAGTGGACTCTTTTAAATATCATCTATAAGCTCCACCCAACCAAATTTATAAAGATTTATCCAAAATTGAGGGTCAGCTGTACACAAAATTAAATTCTGACATAGAAGGGAAAGGTTTAAAACAAGTTTTTAAAATGAGCGATTTTTATAAAGTATATTTTGTGCAAAGGCAAATGGCTCGAATGTTGTATGTGATTTTCAATGAATTTCTAAACTAGTGACCAATTTAAAATTTTCAAAATATTTTTTGGAAATTTCTTTTAAAATATTTTCTAAATTTTTAGTTAAAAATACCGTATTTCCTATATTAGAGCCCCACCCTCTGTTAGAGCCCCACCCTCTAATAAAGCCCCACTTTGGAGGATAGTTGAAAAATAGAGCCCCACCCTCAATTAGAGCCCTACCCCAAATACACCCCCACCTAAAAAATTTTGGAGGAAAAAATATCCAAATAACTTTTTAGATGTATTACGAGAGTTAAGGAAATAAAGGGGGATATTGATGATTTCGTGATAATTGAGGAAGAGGTATCATGGGGATTGGGGATGAAAATGAGGGATTAATCCCGTTATCCGTCAAAATACTCTAATATCGCCTATATTCCTCAAAATCCCTCCTATTACCTCCGAAATCTAATCATTGTCTGAAGGGTTGCAATCGTGTTAGGCACTTGACGATAGTTCGCGAAATTATTAGAGATCTATTAGGGATCTCGCTTATAATCAGTGCTGGAGAAGTTCCAAAATTTCTCTGGAACCGGTTCCAGTTCTGGAACTGCTTTTTGAATTTCTTCAGTTCCAGTTCTGGAACAATGTTCCAAAGCTTCATCAAACAAAATCCCTTCATATGCCTTCTAATACCCCTATCCAGAATGTCCCTCTTAATTCCGAAAAATCTTTCAATATAAAATTAATCATCAGATATTCCCCATAATTCCTTAAAAGTTACTTTTATACCTCTGATCCATCGATGTCAAATACCTCCTAATATAATCCGACCAAATCTACCTATATTTAATTATTAATATTACTCTCATTGAACTATTGGACTATTTTGTTTTTCATTGCTCAAAAAGTTTTAATTTTTCTTGAAAAATCGAAAAATATCGATTCTTTTTCGATATTTTGCGGATTTATCACCAAACCCTCCTGCTTATCTCTAGTTGCAATGGATAATTAATGAATGGGATTTTATCTCAAAAGAGTGTTGAAAAATAGAGCCCCACCCTCGATTAGAGCCCCACCCTCTAATACAGCCCCACCTCGGCGGATAGTTGAAAAATAGAGCCCCATGGGGCTCTATTATAGGAAATACGGTATCTGGTCACGAGTTTTTAAATTTATATTAAATACAAGAAAAGTATTAACAAAATTTCTTATCGAAAGTTAAATAAACGAAATTTTGTAAAAAATTAAAAAAAAATTTTTTAGAGAATAAGAAAATGAGAGTGAAGCATTAATTGGATTTTTGAAGATATTTTTGATTGATTTAAATATTATTTTACCGAGAGTACCGAGTAATACCGACAAATTGTTCTCTTTAATTCTTTTTGTTTTTAAAAAATAAAAATTTTATTGAGAAATTAATACTTTCCCCAATTATAAAGAAATTAAAATGCTTCACTTAATTATAAATATAAAGGAAAAAAATTATTTTTGAGTTAATTCAGTCAAAGGAAAACAATCATTTTTAAAAAATAAAGCAAAAACAAGGAAAAAAATTTTCTTTTTAATTTTCCACCCCCAAAAAAAAACAAAAAAAAAATTTTAATTTTTTTTTCATTCCCTCTCTATCATCTACTCGTGCTTTCCCCTCCACCATCTATTAAAGGTTCAGGTGTTGTTTTAGTTGAAGTATTACTATTACCATCATTATTCCCCCCTCCATTCTTCCGGAACTTTGAATTTAACCACATGGCAAAACATCCAGTTATTGATGAGGAATTACCGCTTTTACCTTCTAAAATAAGAAAATAAATTTTTAATTAGAAAAAAAAGAAAGAGGAGTATGACGAAAGAAAGATTTATTTGAATGATTTTAGAAAAAAAATTATTTGAAGAAACGACGGGAACAAAGAGGAAAAATATAGCGAATCGTTTGACTGTTTGTGGTGCAGTCGGATAGCGCTGTGTTCGTAAAGGAATGGTCGGAAGTTCGAATCCAACTCATGAGGAAATGTTATTATTTTGATATTTAGACGAAAAAACGTTATAAAATTTTTTTTGAAATTTTTGAAGGTGATAAAAAATTTATATTTTTATAAAAATATGTAGGTGACACTATATGCAAAAAACAAGGAAAAGTTTTTTTTTATTTTCCACTCCCCAACAGAAAAAAATTATTTGAGGAAACGTTTATCTATCTAGAAATCAAAATAAAAGCAGCATTTGCTGTGATAACTAGATGGGTATTTTTCATTAACAGGACAAAAATACCAGGCCTCTAAAATATAGGTGACACTTTATCCCACCCCTCTAAAATTAAAATCCTCAATAATCCTTTCACAAAAAATTTCAATTTTCCAACCTTTCTTCTTCCTTTCCCGTTCAACACTTTGAGTTCTCTTTGATTTCTTCTCTTCGTTTTTTGTATTAGTCTTATTAGAAGATGACAAAACATCGTCATGGCTTGATCGATGTGTAAAAGGTTTTGAAGTTTTAATTGTTTTTGTTGTTTCACTTTTACTTGGAGATTGGATATCCGAACTTTTAATTTTTTTATTTTGAATTTTTGTTGTTTTTTGATCTTTAGATGATGAATCTTGGGCAACTGAAGAAGTTTGAGCTGACAATTCAACACCTTTAAATGTTTTTATTTGATAAAGAATAGTAGAAAAATTATAAAAACCTTCAACAATTGCATCCAATGGTTTGCGTAACGAAGCTGAAATTGATTTAAAAATTTTAAGATTGTTATTTTTATTAATAGAGCAAAAATATCAAGCCCTTAAAAATCATTTTTGATAAAGTGGATTAGTCTATTAAAAATATGAGGAATTCTAATCAGAAATCTGCTATTTTTATTACCTGACAATGAGGCGGGATTTCTCTAACACATCACCCCTGGGCACCTAACTTGAAATTAGCAGCTGATGTACAAGGGAAGGTGATATGCAAGAGGGAGTTAAATAAAAGCCCTCCTAGGGCCGAATTAAGATGGTGCATGAAGGGAAGTGATGTGTGAAGGACGCTAATTAGAGAGATTCGATTGAATTTAATTTGTTTCAAAAATGGGATCAAGATAGCAAAATTGTTATTTAAGACAAAAAATAGCAATTAACCTGAACTTGTAGAATATTTTGGAGGCGTTTTAGCAGAAGGAATAACCATAACAGCATTGTTTGTTTGAGCGTTTTGAAAAGAAGTAGCGAGAACTGAATTTGTTGGAAGACTTCCAATACTTTGAGAATTTCTTGCTCTAGCAGCATTTGCTGTAATAACTAAATGGGTATTTGAAGAAACTGCTGACGAGGAAGTCTTTAAAAAATAAAAATATTTTTTATTTAATTATTTTAAAAAATATTTATATTCGAAATAAACAAAAAAATGAAGAATGAAGACTATTGGTTGCAAAAAACTCACAAAAATATCGAAAGTTTTTTCTTGGAAGTGATAATTTCCTCCTCTATTTTATTAAAAAAAATAGGGATGGAAATTAGGGAATACCTATGTCTATTAAAAAAATTAGAGGTAATAGTCTCGTTTCCCAGCCCCATTTTTTCCTCCCAATTTTCTACCCTATGTTTGTACGGAATGGTCAAATTTTCCCCTTTCTTTCATCAAATTTGCCTTTCATATTTTGCCTAAAAACAATCAAAAAGATTAATTTTTTATTCATTTCTTTCACAAGGATAAAAAAGTGAGACATGATGCCAAAAATTATAAAAAACATTTTCAATATTGCCAAATCGTTTTCGCCACAGAAATTCTGGAAGATAACTTTTATAGGTTCTCAAGCCCTGCATCGAAATCATTATCACTCAAACGTAATTTTTCATATAAATCAATAGGTTTGAAATTCTTTAGCTCTTCCATTTTTATTAATTGGGAAAATGATTCTTCTCATTACTCTAATACTTTTTTAAATATCACAAATTAATCTTTTTGATTGTTTTTAGGCAAAATATGGAAAGGCAAATTTGATGAAAGAAAGGGGAAAATTTGACCATTCCGTACAAACATAGGGTAGAAAATTGGGAGGAAAAAATGGGGCTGGGAAACGAGACTATTACCAAATTAGAGATACTAATATAACAAGGAAAAAAATTTTGGACATTGTCAAGCGAATGTAAAATTCAGATAATGTGATGGGATTGGAACAAAATTAATTAAAATAAAATTCAAAGAGTTAATTACCACGTGTATTGCATTTCCATTAGCAAAATCTTGCAAACTTTGGGCTCTAGAACGAACTAAAAAATTGAAAATATTTTTAGAAAAAAAAATTTAAAAAAAACCATTTTTAATTCGTGCCGGTAACGGCTGGGAAGGAAATAATTTCATATCTTTTGTTACTATTGGAGCCAACATTTTTGTATTTTTAGGATTTATTTAAATGTTTAATTAAAATCTGAAAATTAAAAGAAATTTAATTTTAAAAAATTATAAAAAAATTTTGTAAAAATCATTCTAACGTAATTTAAAAAAAATTTAAAAAATAAACTTTAAAAGTTTGTAACTAAAGACCGAACCACACAGCAGATCAAAATAGGTAAAGGCGGCTACTCGCCTTTCATTATGGGATTATGGCCTAGTTGGTTAGTGCGTCCACTTTAAGGCAGAAAATGAAGGAGATTCGAACACTTTCAATGAAACAATGAAAGCCACTGAAACGGCTTAAATTAACAGGCTGATCTGCTTTTAATCAATGGTAAAATATTATTTATCCTTCTCTAGCCCAATCTCTATTTGAGCCCATTTTTAATTAAAAAGTCGAAATTAAAATAAAAAAATTTCAAGAGCGAGGGCTTAAAAATTAAATTAGAATTCTGAACAAAATTTTTAGACCAAAAATAATAAATTGGGGATCAAAAGGGTAACTCTAAAAAATAATTTAAATAAAGTAGAAATTAGACGTTTTCAAAATTTATAAAAAAAAGATACAAAAAATACAAGTGTAGTTACTATATGTAGTTAGTAAACGAGACACAAAGTAAAAATTGTTGTGATTTTAACCTAGAAGTTTAAATGCTCTGATAATCGGTTAATAAATACTAGAGATAGGCACGGGACGGGATCTAGCACAGGATTTTACCGGACGCGGGTTTTGCGCTGAAAACGGGATTACCGGGATCTAGGGATTAATCCCGCGGGATCCTGTCTCGATCGAACTTTTGAAACGTAATCCCGTTCCGGGATACAGGGAATTTTTTTTAATTTTCGGGATTTTTAATTATTTACATAAAAACCCCAAGAAAAGTTGAGGGAGCAATTAAAAAAATAATAGAAATTTTATTGAAAATTTTTTTAAGTGATGCAAAAATTATTTTAAATTGCACAGAAAAAATAAAAAAAAATAAAATAAATTTTTAATGAATTAATTTTTGAATAAAATTACTCAGAAAAAAATTAAAGACTTTTTTAAATTTATTTAATCTCCCTAAGAAAAGCTATTTTTCATATAAAAATACACCTACACACAAATAAATCCGTAATTTTATAAATGAAAAGATATTAAAAAAGAAACTAATAACAAATATCAAGTACTTACTAGCTTTTCTGCTACTTTAAATCGATTTAATTTTCTCAGGATGAGTAAGGGATATTTTTTGAGCAAAGCAAAAAAGTCTGCTGACTGGTAGATTAAGCAGCTGAAAGGGACGTTTGAGTATTTTTGTTTTAAAAAGATGGAAATTTATTTAAATTTAAATACTTGGAAGTAAAATTGAATTTTAATTTACATAATTTAAAGCTTGCAAAAATAAAAATCGTTTCCATTCGATGTGTAAATTAAATGTGTTTAATTAAAAATACTCAAACATCAAATTTTGTTTTAAATGCTAGACATGCACAATAACACGTTGACTTGACGCGAGTCAGATAACTTTGCTAATCTTAATGTTTTTGTATAGTGAGATGATTCCATCAGTTAAATGGGTATTTGTCTCGGTACACAATCAACTTGTACATAGAATAAGACATCACACATGCAACAACTTTTGCTGGCACTGAACACATCTTTAGAAGATCGGTGTCTGAATCTGACAGTCGTTCAACTCTAAATAAGTCTGACAGTTTCTAAAAACTGGGCAGCCGCCATTTACAGCCGATTGGGTGCAGAATTTTTTAATTACACTTCACTTATTCTTGATGATCGTAATCCCATCATATTTGTTATATTTTAGTAAAACATATACATAAGTTAGAATCAGGAGAAACCCAAAAAAAATTTTCAAATTTATACTAGACGACTGTCATGGTTTATTGCTTCAAAGGCGGCCCTCAATAAAAAAACCTTCAATTGTTATGTACATCTCAAACTTTATTTTTAAAAAATTAAAATTTATACTCTAAGTGAAACAATTAAAATTTATCAACAAAAAATATACACGTAAAGTATCAACTATTATTATTACTTTTCTTGACCTCGTTAGTTTTTAGTTGCCATTGGTAATTAAATAGAAGAAAAAAGAAATGTCGCTAGCGCGATATTTCGTCAACATGCATAGAAACATGCTTTGAGATGTGTTTATATATAAAAAGATTGTTGAAAAAAAATAATATCGACTGGATGTCTTCTACAGCTTAATGAGAAAAAAAGGAACATCTCTTTCCTCCTTCTCGTCATTTTAAATTCAAAAATTGTGGATACCTTAATTATTATTTCCTTTCTGCTTGTACATAGAAGAGACAGTCATTCTCTCTTGTATAAATGTACATGTTCCTTTTCCGTTTTTATTCCCTTATAGCAAAACGTCTGTCACTACTAGGTCACTAGGGGAAGAGAAAAAGAAAAGAAGAAATTCGTCTTCTCCTTTTTTTATCCGTTTACACACTTTTTTTTATAGGCATATGTTCATACACTCTCTTCTTTTTAAAATCAATAATACTCGCAACAAAGCACCAAAAATCGCGTTTTTTAGATCATCTTAGCGTGCCAGCCGGCATTTAAAAATTTTTTTAGTATACGTAATAAAGGCTTAATTTGGAAATTTTCTACACGTGTATTGATGGAGAACCCTAAAAATATTTGCCAGTCTTTCCCTTGTTTGAGGTGAAGGTTTAAATTTCAATGACCAATTATTGACAAATCCCTAGTTAAATTTTTTTTCATAAAAAGCAACAGGAATTCCCGGATTTTTTTTCCGTTTTTGTCAAACATAGTGCTGGAAAAAAAGATAGGACCGAGGCTGTTAATTTAGTTTTTATCAATTATCTCTTTTCGATTAACTTTTCGAAAAAAAGTTTCAACACTAAAATTGTAGATTTTTAAATGCTCTTTAAAATGAGTATAAATATCAAGATAATTTACCGACAAAATTTTTCCCAAAAAATTTTTTTCTGGCACTGTATTTATCGATTTTCTTTCGGACAAATTTTTAAAAAATTCTCTCATTTTCTATAAAATCTGTTTATTTCGAATTTTTCAGTTATTAATTTCTTTGGTATTTTTACAGACAGACTTAAAATTTGGATTTTTTCTAGGTTTATTTTCTATCGATTATTTTTATTTAGTTTATTTTTATAAGTATTTGCTTAGTGGCAGCTTTTAAAATTTAAAAAAATTCAAAATTAATTTAACGCATTAACTAAAAATTATAGTCTACTAAAAAATTATTTAAATTTAATTACTCTTATATTTAATCAAAATTCAGTTGCCAACGTTAACACGAGAGAGAAATTGATTTTTTATATCGCTAACTATTTTTTATAGGCGTCAGCTGGTTTCTACTTTTTCTTTATTTTTTTAATTAACAACTAATAAATAGTACATTAATTTTTACAATACAATTAATTAAAAACTGTAAAACTCTAAACAGTCAAAACGGAGCCGCAAAAGAGACAAAACTTCCGTATTATTTTTAACAACCATTGGTGGCATAGAACAAAGTCTACGTTAAATAACAAGTGAGTAGCCAGAAAATTGTTTTTTATAAATTGTTGGGGTCATCTTGGCGCCTTTTTCGATTTGGCGCCAATTACACTTTAATCGCTTATTTGGCTGCAAATTTTCACATGATGAAAAAAATGTGGAAATTAATCATTTGAGAAAGGAAATTAACAAATAAGCAGCTTTCGAAATCAAAAAAAAATACTCGCGAAGATTGCCAAATAAAAATTTGGTAGCAAATTTGTAGTAGAGAATATGCTTCACGTCAAAATTGGGTGCGCCGAAACGGCTATCCAAAATTTAAAAAATAACCTTTTGTAAATTAGTCTTTGCTCTTTAAAAAATCAATTACTAAAATAAAATATGGGAAAATAAGCAGCGGCAATGTACACAAAATTTTCTATTAATTTAGATAAAAATCAGGCACATTAATTCTGTCTTGTACATTTTTCTACTCCAAAATTGGAGTTTTTTTGAAAAAACAAAATGATGGTTGATGACATTGAACCACCTAAACCTACACCTATATTTGGAAATGGGACATCGTTGGTAACTAATGGAATTAACAATTCTTCATTAGCTGCCCTTATGCATTCAAATATTCAATCATCATCTTCTACAACAGCGGGTCCAAGTTCTTTATTTCTGGGAACTCCTCTTTCTACAATGCTTCTTGCGAGTAATCAACAACAACAAAGCTCAGGAAGTAGTTCTAGTAGTGTTGGTGGAGGAATGGGGTCGTCTGGATGTAATGGAAGGTTACAACCTAGACAAAGTAAGAAAGGATTAGTTTTTTAAAATGTTAATCGGAACACTTGTTATTATTCTTTACTCTTTAATAAAGCTAATTTTATCCTGATTACACCCAAAAGATCAACGCATTATGTTTTTTGATCCTTAAAAAGGATTTTAGTTTGCTTTATTTTTATTATTTCTTTAGGAAGGAAAGTTCCAGATGGCGAACTATGTGCTGTATGTTCGGGTAAGTGTTTTAATATGCATTTATACAGGGTAGCACCCATGACTCGAACCCCGATTATTTTTTGGCAAAAACCCCGACCCGAACCGCGAAGGCTTACCCCGACAAACCCTGAAATTCGACACTCCCGCACACCCGAAGGCTCGGGGTGCTACCCTACATTTATATTTTTGTCTTGTTTGTTGTTCGTCTCGATTTCTCTTTTTTTTGTGACCTTAAATATCCTTTAGATTGGATATAATATAAGAAATTAATTAACCGATGGTTCCAATTTTTGTTTGATGTTTATTTCCAACTGTTTTTATTAGTAAATTTGTCTTCATTTTTTCTACTAATTTTTAGACAAAGCAACTGGCTATCATTATGGTGTTGCAAGTTGTAATGGTTGCAAAACATTTTTCCGAAGGACAATAGTTTCTGAACATAGTTTTGGTAGTTGGTTAATTAATTATTTAATAGAAATTTAGCTCTTTTAGTTTGTCAATATAATGGAAGTTGTGATGTTACTAGAAATGTTAGGTGTGCTTGCAGGCATTGCAGGTTTTTATTTAATTAGAAATAAGCCAAATTTAGAGAATTAAATCGGGAATTTTGCGAGTTATTGGAGAATGATTAGCTTAAGATTGGAGAATGATTAGCTTAAGATTGGAGAATGATTAGCTTAAGATTGTATCCCTCTTTTTTTAGGTTTCAAAAATGTGTTGCCGTCGGGATGGACGCCAGAGCGATACAAAATGATCGAGACAGGTATTTTATTAATAGTTTATTCATTAACTATTTTTTAATTTTTAAAAGAATTGGCCCAACAAAGAAGATGCGTTTATCTTCTGGCGGGGCAGTTGAGGGAAGAAAACGAAGTTCTGTCGATGAGGATCAACTTTCTGTGGCTTCTTTATCACCACAAATGAGACAGCAAGACGGGAAATTGTTGGAACATATTGTTGCAATGTATATATTTTTGTTTTTGGGAGAAGTAAAAAAGGCTTCGATTTGTGATCATTCGAAAATTCTGATATGTTGGGAAATTTTCTAGTTTCTAATGTCCAGTGTACGAGTTGAGATTCGAACTCACCGAAATAACCCTTCCCCGTTTGTTAATATCGGGGGCTAATCAAGGCTACCAAATAAAGCTACACATTTCTTTTTATCCTACCAAGGACGTAGCCAGGAGGGCTTCTGGTTCATTTAGAAAGGGCTATAGCAGGGCTGGGCGAAATTAAAAAATAAAATGCGAAACTTTTCGCGCTAAAAATGCGAAATTTCGAAATAAGCCCAGCCTCTCCACCGAACTGGCTACACCCTTGGTACCCTACAAACCTTTAACATCCATACGCAATTCCTCACTAATTGTAAATATTCGGAACACCTCTCACCACTTTTGAAATAAATTTAAAATTCATTCTTTTAGAGAAAACCTTTGTAATGTTCTTCGCAATTGCTGTCTTGAAGAAAGCAAAGGTGTTAGAGAAACATTGACACAGCCTTCATTACTTTTTCAAGCACAAAACTTACGAAAAGATGTTTTAATTAAAAGTCTTTTTATTTTTAATTATTTTATTTTTAAGGTCAATACAATATTTAAAGACCTTTATCCAGGTTTATTTTAAATTAATTATTTTAAAAAACCTTAATTTTTAGCTTCCATGAATGATATTCAAATGTGGAATATCAGGGAGCTGAGGCTTTGTTTGGAATGGGCTAAGACTTTTGATGAATTTCAACGACTTTCTGACAATGACCAAGTTTGTTTTTATATTGAGCGGGATCGGACCATGCAAGGGCGTCTTTATCAATTTTAAGTGAAGTTATAAGCAGAGCTGCGTCGAAATTTCGATTTTCGACGTTTTTTTCTACCGATTTTCGAATTTCTTCATAAAATTTCGATTTCGATAATTTTAATTTATCGATTTTCGATTTTTTTCTGCAAAATTGCATTATCTTTTCTCTTAATATTTTATTCCTGCGGCGCCAAAAAATGACGAAATTTGGCTACTTAGCCTCCCAAAATTCTCAAAATTTTCGCCTGCTGGTTATAAGTCTGCGGTACCATGGGTTTGCTTTACCTTGGCCTGCTCCCTTTTTCAAAATTAAGCAAAAAATGCTAGATCTTATTTATAAAAATTATTTTTTCTCAATTTAGTTTTCGCTAGTCCGAAACTTCGCATTCACTTATAACATCCTGAACAGGTTTGTTTTAGTCATTCTTTTAACTCTTCTAATTAAAAATTTCTTAGAGTCTTCTATTCATTGGATTACGGACCAGATAAAATTGTTTATCCAAATGGCGCATATATTTTAAGACAACCCCAAGATAGTGTTAAAATACCTGGATGTAAGTTTTCCATTAACAAAACATCATCCAAATTTTATATAATTAATTTAGGTCGGTCAATATATCATCGTCAAATGGATGGTCTGTTAAAAAAAGATTAGAGCTGTATTGAAAGTTTTTGAGATTTTAGAGAATATTTTTTTAAGTCTCGTTTTTGATCTCACATTTTTATTTAAATCCCTGTAACGCTGGTCTCTCTATCCTGTGGGTTTTCTTAAATTCAGGTCGACTTACTAATCCAATTCTTGAATTAATATTTTTGATTTGAAATTTACTAAAAAATTCAAGTCTTTCTAACAGTAGTTTTCTGGAAGATTTAAATTGAAAATTTTCGTAAAATTGAAAGGAAATAAAAAACTTCAATACAGCTCTATTTGATTAATTAATTTGTCTAAATTATTTTTTAATCTCTAGAAATTATGATTCCGTTTCGAAAACTAGAAATTTCTATGCGTGAATTTGCTTGTTTCAAAGCTTGTCTTTTCTTCAACCCAGGCATATTTTAAAAATTTTTTGAATTAATTCTTTAAAAAATTTAATTTTAGACGCGCTAGATCTGTCTCACGAAGTTCGAGAGAATATTGGAAATGAAAGAACAAAATATCTTACCGTTCTTTTCCAAATAATTGTTGAAAGACACAATACAAGCTTTGGAGTTCAAAAATATGGAAATATGTTGATGATGTCCCAATCAATTCAGGTGAATTTTGTAGTTGAAGGAAAAAATTTTTATTCTAAAAATAAGTAGAGCAACTAGGAAATGCGAAGGGAATTTTATATTTAAAAAAATTAAATTTTTGGCCAAAAAAATTAACAAAAATTTAATCGTTTAACAAAGAATTATTTGTTTGACATTTTTGTCTCAAACCTCTAGATAAAGAAATAAGGAAATTAATTTCATCATTTACACATCAAAGATGATTGTTTGGAGAGGGGAAATTGTTTCAGAGTTGCATTCCTATAAAACCCATTGGGGAGGGGGAATTGCTTGTGTTTCCCAATATTTGTTTGTTTTTCTTTGTTTTCGCTCTGAGAAAAGAAAATTTTCTATTGGCCTATAAAGGTTGAACGATCAAATGATTTAAACAAATGAAAGGAGAAAAGTAATAAGGGAAACCTGCATACAATCGGCGAGAAAAGGAAACAAATGAAAGGGAATGAAAATATTGTAACGCGTGGTTGTCTGGTTTAGATTAGATTTATGAGTCAAAAAATAAATGTCTGGCCTAGATTTAAATAGTAGATAAGTAACTGGAATGATTTAATTAATATGACAAAAATGTACAAATCGAAATAGGAAAAAATGAACAGAATTTTAGAGTAAAAATTGGAGAGAGATTTGCATTAAAAATGCTAAGATAATGAGGAAAAAATGCAACTTTTTCTTTTAATAAATAAATTAAAAGATTAGAAAACAATTTTAAAAATTAGGGGGATATACATTAAAAAACATCAAAAATTGTTGTTTAATTGCTAGAAATATAGCGACCAAATTTATGTTTATTTAAAGGCGAGGGAGAGTGAGAGGGCCTTCCCACCAAAAAATTTCTTTCATTTATTTAAAATGATGTTTTTAGTCATCAGACAATCATCCTTGACGTGTGATGATGAATAATAATTGGGAAATAAAAACAAAAAATATTGTCAAAAAATAATTTTTTTAATCAAAAATTAATTCTTTTTTAGAACATCATTGACCAAAATGATGAAAATATGCAAGTTATGGAAGTTTTTGGGTAAGAGAAAATTTTTCTGAATTTTAAATTTATTAAAATTTCTTTAGACATTTTTGGAGAATTAATGGGTTTGTTAAAGAATTGTGTATGAAATGAAAATTAAAAAAAGGAAGGAAGTATTTAAAAATAAAAGAAAGACGGGGACATTTAATAAAAATTAATAAAAATCAAAAAATAACAGAAACGCATCAAAGAATCTTTTTAATAGCGTAACCTCTTAAACGCGGACCTCACTCTTTATTATTGCAAAAAATTCCTTTATTTAGTTACTATATCACTTTCTAATTTGCACTTTCTATTTAATAATATTTTTTTATATTTACTAAATTCAGTACAACAACAATTTAATATTTTTCTTTTAAATTTAATTAATTTTGTATTTAATTTTCTCTACAAACATGTATGTATCTATCTATCTCTTTTCTATATTCCAAAAAATCTTTCAGCCCGCTGTTTTTACATACATCAGTACATACATTCTATTTTTATACATGGTTCCTGCCATAGTACTTAAATAAAATTAATTAATATTTAAAAAAGTTTTTCTCTATAAACAATAAAGGGTTAATAAAGAATGAGATATAAAACAGGTTTTTATCTAAAAGTTTAAAGTAGGGTAGCTCCCCAAGCCTTCGAGGTCAGATGTATCGTGGATCGGGGTTTGCCAGGGAGGTCATGTCTGGTTTCGAGGTCGGAGTTGACTTTTGGGTCGATGGGGAGTAACCCTACCTTAAAGGCACATTTCTGGAAAATTTTGAGAAAAGAATGAAGTGATTGCTGATCTCGATGTTCTCCTTTCTGCTACTGTAGAAATAATTAGTATTAACTTTTAAAGGCTTAACTAATTTCTTTTGATATTTGCTTGTTTCATGGATTCTTAAGTAATAAAAATGGAAGGGTGAAGCTACTTTTTAGTAAATATTTTTGTGGCCATTAAGTTTAAAAGCGGTTGAAACAACCGATATATAAATAATTTTACTAACATACTAAATTTATTGAAGAGACGGACTCTATTTCTGTTGCATTCCTAACACCGCTGCCAAAAACCTTGGCCCTTTTGCTTTTCTAATGGCTAGTCTTCTCTTTTTTTAACCCGTATGTCCAGTGGAGATTCTTTGTATTCTCTAATGCAAACAGAGAATTGCAGCAAAATGGTCGATGAAAATAAGTACTATCTGAAAAATCATGGAATTTATTTTTAGGGAAATGTCCTAATTTTTAAAAATTTTAAACTTACATATTTGCTGATCTAGAACTTTTCATCAGTAAATTTGCTACAAACATGTTTGCTTAAGGCCATGCGTTTTTGTTGTGTCTCTGCACAACTAAGAAGCAATACAATAATGTGCTTATTACACAAAAGAAATACAATAATATTGAAGTAATAGAATAAGCTTAGGGTAATGTTTAGGAGACACGGACTGACAATTTGTGAGGCTTTTATAGTAGCCACTACACCACAACAGTTTTAGTGCCCATTTTGTATTTTTTACTAGATTTTCTGTTTAGTTCATGAATATTCCGAATTTTTCAAAAATTTTTCATTCTTTTTAGACAACTAATTTTGTATATTTATTAATTTAAATTATTTTATTCATCAACAAAATGGAATAAAATTTCAATAAAAAGAATGAGTTGGAACAATTTTAATATTCCACCAACAGTCAGTGAAGTAGATGTTGATGAAAGATTACAACAACAAGATGGGGGAAGCTCTTTAGTTGGTGGAGAAGAGTCAGATGAGGCTTCTTCTGACACAATTAGAGCCCTTCATGATTCAAAATTGGAACCTCTAATGATCTCAGTTTGTTTTTAATTTTCTGATTTATTCTAATTATTTTTTAAGATGTTGGAACAGAGGGACAGACTTCAAGAACAGGTTGGAGTTTTTTTAGTGTTTAGTTTTCAAGATAGAAGGTTCTATAGGCTTGTAAAAAATATAGCTTTTTAAATTTTTACTTGTAAAAATTTTATCAAGTTAAGACGGCGTTTGTAAAGAAGTGTCACTTTCTTGCGTATAAATTTTACAAACTTTTATCAAGTAAAATTCTTTATTTGTGCCGTTAATCCAACCAAGTTTGTAACCAGGGGGGTAGGGCGCAGAAAATCTGAACTTTTTGGCCTGAATCTTCTAAAATTCTCAAAATTTTCGCCTGCGGCGCTAAAAATAGATATTTTTTGCGTCTTCACGCAAAATTCGGCACAGAAAATTTCCCCCATTGTCTCCCCTGGAAAAAATCCAGGTTACGTGCCTGAAGCCAACCTTTAGGAGAATGGTTCGTCTCAAGCCTCGTTTTAATACAAAATATAATATTAAAATTTTGCGAATTTTTTATATTTTTAAGCTTGTCAGAATGCAAAAACGAATAGAAGATGCAGATGAGCGTTGTCGTGATGCAATTCGAGAAAGAGATTCTCTAAGAAGACAATTAGAAACAACTAGACAGGATTTGCCTTCGGTTACTTATTTAAATAATTTTTCCTATTTTTGTTTTCTTTTAAGGAGGTACAAACACTTACACGTGAATTAGCTCATTGCCGGGAACAGCTTTACGAGAAGGAAGAAGAAATTGTTGAACTGAAAGCAGAACGTAACAATACTCGCTTACTTTTGTGAGTTTTCTTTTAATTTTCTTAAAATCACTTCTTTTTTATGGTCAAAGGATTCCTTTTTTCTTTGAGTGTTTCTAACAATAAGCTTTTTAAGTTCAAGACCATAGCGGCATACTCTTGCTTTTTATTATAATTTTCTTTGGGTATTTAAATTAAATATCTTTTGATATTATTTTCGGGCTGGATTTCACTTGCCAATTTTAGTTTTACATTAGGGTTTCGGAGTACGGGATTTTCAAATTGTTTCGGGGCGGGGTTCGGGTCGGTGATAAATGTGAAAAATTGTTCCGGGAATGGGGTCGGGGCGCAACACTATTTTACATATAAATATTTGAAATTAAGTTTTTTAATGTCAATCGTCTATTTTCTCTAAAAAAATTTTTTAAGAGAACATCTTGAATGCCTTGTTTCTAAACATGAAAAATCGTTGCGCTTTACCGTTGTTAAAAGACATTCTCAAATCAATAGGGACAATTCTGTTTCTTCTGAAGTAGAAGTTTTAAAAGCTTTGAAATCTTTGTTTGAGCATCACAAAGCTTTGGAAGAAAAAGTTTTTTTAATTAAAAAATAATTATTTTATTTTTTTGTTTTTAAAGGTAAGGGAACGCCTTAAAGTAGCAATTGAAAGAGTTCAATCTCTTGAAGTTGAATTAAATGGAAAGGTGGAAGAGAATGCGACGTTAAAATCCAAGCTTTCTAAAGCGCTCGCTGAAGCTAAGAAGAATATTAATGAGGTTTTTTAATTTTTTTAAATTTTTAATTAAAAATTCGAGTGTTTTTTGAGATTTTTACCAAAAATTTCTCTAAATAAGAAATTACCAAAAATTTCTTATTGTTAGAGAAATAAGTACCTAGAGAAAAATTCGCTTTTCTCATTTTTGCGTTTATTAAAAATTCATTTTTAACAGAATGAAAACAACATTGCAGAGGGTGATGGAAAACATATAAATTCATCTAACAAAGGCACGTCTCCAAAACTATTCGAATTGCAAGAACAACTGGACAGAATGTCACAGGAATTGGCTACAACAATTAATCAGGCTAATGAACTAAATTCTAGGTTTTTAAAGAGGAAAATATTTTAATTTTTTGTTTAGAAATGCTGAACTCGAATCAGAATTATCCAATGCCGGAAAAGAAATTCGACAAGCGAAAGAACAAGCAAATTCAGCTGAACAACAACTTCAAGAGGTTTTCAAAAAAATTTTTTATGAATTTACTCAAAAATAATTTAAAAAATTTAGTTACAAGCACAGAGAGACGAACAAGAAGATAGAGTTAATTTATTAGAAAATCGTATATTAACCGCTCAACGAGAGAGTGCTTGTTTGAGAGAATTAAATGACAAACTTGAATTTCAGGTAGATAATTTTAACATAACTAGGGACAGCCAAAATATGCACGGAAAATCGCCAAATATGCGCATATATATGCACCGAAAAAGCCCAAAATATGCACCAATATATGCAAAATTTGCCAAAATATGCACTGAAATATGCACCAAAAATTGTTAAAATATGCTTTAAAGATCAATATTTTAAGCCAAAAAACAAGAAATTAGCTTTTAAACCCGCAATTTAAGAAAATTCTTAAAAGATTTTATGGAATTAAGATTATTGCATAGAAATTTAACAAAAGAAAATTTTTCCGAAAAATTTTTCGAAAAAATTTTTTTATAAAATTTTTATAAAAAATTTTTTTACCAAAAAAATTCCGAAAAATTCAAAATTTTCGGCGATTTTTACTAAAATTTACCAAAAAATACCGAAATATGGACCAAAATATGGAAAATTTGCCAAAATATGCACAAATATGCAAATATGCACGGGAGGGCCGAAATATGCAAATATATGCATTAAGAACCGGGTCCTTAAGTGCTCGGACCTATGTAAAAACACCATTTTTGGGCTTCTCACTTCAAGGCATATCCGCATACAAAACATGCATTTGCATGTTTTGGCTGTCCCTAAACATAACATATCTCTGATGGGTTAGTATGTTCCAAGGACGTAGCCAGGGGCCTTATGGGGCTAAAGCCCCCTCTCGAAATGCGGAAAAGGTAAAAATTTGAGGAGGGGATTGGGCAAAAAAGTGAAATTTTTTCGCCCATGACCGTGCAAATGCAAAAAATTTAAGCCTGCGGAGCTTGAGAAATAAAAATATGCTTCAAAAAATTGCATTTGGAATGCCAAAGTAGACGCCAAAATTTTCGCGCACATCCAATTTTACTCCCCTTGAAGTCATATCCGTTAATCTATTTTTTAAAACAAAATGGAATTTAACTAATTTATAGTTGGCCAACAAGGACGCTACTATGCGTTTAAATGAAGAAAAGCTTCATAGTCTACATGAACGGTTTGAGCTTGCCGAAAAACAATTAGCACAGAGCTTGAAAAAAGCTGAATCCTTGCCTTCTGTTGAAGCAGAACTTCTTCAAAGGATGGAGGCTCTTACTGCTGCGGAACAAGTTTAAATAAATTTTTCTGTAAAAATTTAAAGAAATTTTAGAAACATTTGTCGGCCGAAGAACGCATTCAACGTTTAGAAGTTTTATTAAATGAACGTTCTGCAGAGTTAGATCGGGCTGTTCAAAGGGAACGTATGAATGAGGAACACAATCAACGTCTTTCTTCTACTGTTGATAAATTGCTTAGTGAATCAAATGAAAGGCTACAAGTTCATCTGAAGGAAAGAATGCAAGCACAAATAGAAAGGAATATTTTGATGCAACAATTGGACCAAGCA